AAATGGTGAGCACCTACATGCCACCAACAGTCTAATATCCTAGCATAAACAAAAATAATATTTGCACATGTATTAATCATCTAAAACATTAAAACACATTATAAAACATAAAAGCAGAACAAGATATCTAATCGCCTAATAAGTCTAAAAATCGAAGTGCTTTGTTCCGTCAAGGACATCTGATTTTTAGAACATGAAATTTAACTATTTTATAATTTCTAAACTTTAATATATATGCATATATATAATTCTTCTAAATGTTATATATAATCACACTCGTTCATGTAATTAATTAACTCATCAACAACACAAGACACTCGTTGATGATATTTTGATTCCCCGTTTTTGGGAGATAAAATACTCATGTACGTCAGATTGAACTTCACTTTGAAGTTTGAAATCATAGTCAATTCTCGTAATTTCATTTTCCCAACCACCACGATAAGTAATAATATAAAAAACCGTGAAAGACTGAAAGTTGTTACGGACTATACACATACGTAAGTAATAAAAACATTTGGTGCCCACCACAACTAATCCACGTAAGCAAAAATTGCAAAAAAAAATTAATATAATAATTGAAAACAAACCTGCCGCACTTTCCGCTCCACCACGCCGCCGCAGGAGGCTGCCCAAAGTCCGACGATTTTCTCCGCCACCTCCGCCGCACAGTCGCTCCCAGCCACCAGCCTCTCCACCTCCGCCCTCGGCAGCCTCATCCTAACCCTCACTCCTCCTCCTCCGCCGTCGGCGTTCTCCGGCGCCGCCGCAACGCTCCCCAGCCTCGCGGCGGACAGATCGGAGGCCGACCTCCGCGCCAGCATCAAGCTCTCAAGCCGATCCTTGGCGCTCGCCGGCTCCCCCGCCGACCGGAGCCGCCGCGGGGGCCGCCTCCCTTGGTGAAGCTGGACGAGGAAGTAGAGCCGGCTCGACTTCAGCTCGTGGTGCGGCTCGAGCGGCTTGGCCCGGACGCCGTAGTGCCTCACGGCCTCGGACTCCAACAGCACGTGGCCCGGATGCTCCCTAAGCAGGGGCCCGGCCCGGGCCGGGGCCTTCAGCTTAAACGTCTCTCCGCTGATTTTCATCACTTTGGCGCTCCTTTTACCGCAAAACACGTTTCCCATTGTTTTTGTTGAGCGGATTTGATTTTGACCGTCTGCCAGAGGCTTTTTTATAGGGATTTTGGGGCGTGGGGTTGATTAATTATATATTCGTGAAATGTGGGCTCAAAAGTGAAATTTTAGAAAATCGGAAGATTCTTTTTGACAAAATGTTTTCGAGGTTTTACAAATAGAGAATTTGTGTTAGTGTTTGTTGTTCGTGTGACATCCTGATTATTTAGGCTCAAACGATTTCGATGAATTATTTTATTAAATTACTCAAAAAATGAAATAATTCAAAATTAGATAAATAATTAAACGAACGAACTCGAACATTAAATTTGTTACTATTGGAGTGCATTAATCATGACTATTGTGTGGAAGCTTTACAACGTAATTTGGTGACTAACAACAAAATTGTATCTTACTCTAATGTCATATCATATGAAAATTACTATTATGGAGAATACATTGAACAGTAAATTTTACTGTTTGGTAAGTACGGTAAATCAACAAGATATAAAAATTTACCGAATCTGAAAGTCATAAGCATGATTAAGTTTGACTGGCTATTCATGCATGCTGAATTATTGCTGATGCTCCTCCACTCAATATTACTATCCCAAAAGCATTAGATTATGGGTAAGTGAGGCCCGCGGTTAAAATGTTAGGTACATCGTGAGGTACGAAAACATGGTACAATGTAACCTACCAACAAAGATTTCAATAACAAATCAACCAACCTTCAATTAAACATTAGTAAAATACATATTTAATTGACACATATTTAAGTGGAGATAAAATATTGAACTTTCACTTAAATCCCTTTCAAAAGCCAATGATCAAGATCTTGTAAAACTCTTGTGGATACGAACTTGGTAGTGTGGTTGAATTGGTAGTATTGTTTATTTTATCGATTTTATTAAACAAAAAATAAATTTGTTATTATAACATAATGTAAAATTAGTAAAATAGATCGCTTTTTTTCATTGCCATATTTTTACTGCATTTAAAAAAAAAAGAAAGAACCAAAAAATTCAATCACAATTCAAATCTAATTCAATTTAACTCTACCTTACTATCTTCAATATTATTATATAATTAAATAATATCAATCAATCATTTATACACATCACATCAACTTTAATTTAATACTCATCTACTCAGATAATTTTAACTAATCATTACTTCCAATCACATCTCTCCTATTTTTACATTTAATTAATTTTAATTATTTTATTTTAAATATTATTTTAATATGAAATAAAAATCTTACTTAAAACTAAGTCACCTAACTTTTCAAAATTAACTATGGTTAACTAAAAAACCAATAAAAAAAAACTACAAACAAACAAGCCCTTAGTTTATTTCGATTGAACCGGTATTTTGTGATTACAAATCGGAATAAATCAGTACTTTTATTAAAATAGCATTTGGAGTAACCATCCAACCATCGACAATTAGAATTGTCGATATTGGCAATCGATAGAATACAATATTTTTAATTAATAGTTTCTTTACGCTACTCAAATCTGCGTGTGAAACCAAGAACGCACAAAGAGATTCATTGTTCATCTAGCGAGCTTTATTGACTAACGGATATGAATCATGCTTCATCTATCTACCTTTTTGAAATATTAGCAACCGTACCTAGTTTGGCATCGCCGACATTACTATGCGTGGTAGTTAAAAGATAACGAAATGGATATATATCCATAAGAATTTCATGATAGTGAAAAATAGCATATTATACATATATTAGTAGAAGACAACACTATATATTATCTTGACTTGGGAGATATTTATTGACCATGGGTAGACGTGGCCTGGTGCCGGGTCCACGGTCCACATGGACGAGGCCCGGACCCGGACCGAAAAAAGTGACGGTCCGGGACCGGTTTGGGCCCGGACCCGCCGGTTCGTCGACCCGCCGGTTTTCGGCCGGTTCCGACGGTTCCCGGTTTTTTTTTTCTTTTTTTTATTTTTTATTTTTTTTGGTAAATAAAAAATATGTTGAGATGTATTACCGGTTTTGATTGATCGGCGGTTCCGCCGGTATAGTGTTATTTCGTAGGAGTTGCGAAATTCAATTTTACTATGTTAGTTAAACAATATCTTGATTTTCATCAACGTCATCATGCAATCTGACTCCAATACACAGTCTCGAGTAATATATCCGTTCTTTTTGTTAGCGGCCTTAAGCATGTTACTTAACTGAAGCTGTCTTCCAAGTTATCATCGTATCGTTGGCGTACAAGATGTTGATACTATTATCCCACAATTCCATAAGGGTACATACCTTTTCACGCATCACTTGTACTGTTCGAATACGTACTCAACATTTGACATTAGTTTTATATCATTATCCAACGGTACCAGTTATGCATGAAAAGGTATGTACCCGTATGGGACTGTGGAATAATAGTATCAACATCTTGCACAGCAAAGACGATAACTTGGACAACAACTATTAAGTAACATGCTTGAGGATACTAACAAAAAGAACGGATATATTACTCCAGATTGTGTATTGAAGTCGGATTGCATGATGACGTTGATGAAACTCAAGATACTGTTGAATTAACATATGTATTTGAGAAAGATGTTTTATAACGGAAACAATTGCGAATCAAAGTCCCCTTATATTTGTGTCAATTAAGGTGCCTACGTACCCCTTATATTGAGAATCAAAGTCCACGTAGTTCTTTTAAGTTTCAATATTAGGCATTCGTTTTTTAAGGTCGTGATTCATTGTGGATTTCAGTTCTAAGAATTTCGAAAAGTTTATCAATTAGAGCTGAAAGCAATAACATCAATTAAACCGTTTATGCCACGCACACATTCTCTCATTGTGGATGCTGTTTCTGACTCTCTCATACGCCTACAATACAACAATATAGAGATAGTATACACAAACAAACTTCAACAAACTTCCAAGTATTGAAGAATTTGTATGTCGGCCTGTGTCGTAGAACTCTAACTGCTATATTGTAAACGTATGCGAGAGTGAGAAGCAGGATCCACAATGGGAGAATGTGGACGTGGCATACTCGATGTAATTGATGTTATTGTTTAAATTTGTGAAAGATGTTTTATAACGGAAACAATTGCCGTTGGCATCGGTTACGGGGTTCTTAAATGTTCAACAACCATCCAACACAGCAAGAAAGCTACAGTCTTTTCCACACACACTAAAACTATTGGATTATTGTATCAAATTATTTTTAGTGGTGTGTGAAAAAGACTGCAGCTTTCTTGCTATGTTGGAAGACTGTTGAGCATGTAAGAACCCTGTAAACGACGCCAACTGCGATTGTCTCCGTTATAGAACATCCTTCTACTGATGTAATTTAACTTATTTTAATTGATATTTTAACTGAAGGATTAAGGTGCCTACGTATTAGTGGTGTGTCAAAAAGTCCAAGTACTTTTTGTTAATTTACTTACAACTCAAGAAATTCCAAAAATTGACTAATAACATCAATTACGCCAATAATGCCAGGCACACAATCTCCGTTGTGGATATTGCGTCGCACTCTCTAATACGTCTACAATACAACAACGGAGATTGTGGACGGGGCATTATTGGAATAATTGATATTATTGCCTGGATTTCTGAACAATGTTTTCTGAAAGATGTAATTTAACTTATTTTAATTGATATTTTAACTGAAGGATTAAGGTGCCTACGTATTAGTGGTGTGTCAAAAAGTCCAAGTACTTTTTGTTAATTTACTTACAACTCAAGCAATTCCAAAAATTGACTAATGACATCAATTACGCCAATAATGCCCCGCACACAATCTCCGTCGTGGATATTGCGTCGCACTCTCTAATACGTCTAGAATACAACAACGGAGATTGTGGACGGGGCATTATTGGAATAATTGATATTATTGCCTGGATTTCTGAACAATGTTTTCTAGAGGCAAATTAATTCTTGTTAAGTTAAGTTAAGATACTGCGATTGTCTTCATTATAGAACATCCTTCTATTGATCTAATTTAACTTATTTTAATTGATATTATTGCCTCAATTTCTGAAAAATGTTTTCTACAGGAAAATTAATTCTTTTTACGTTTAGATATTTTAAAATTGATATATAAAAAAAAAAAAAAAATTGGACTTGAGCTTAATTGACATTTATTAAGTTAAAATATCATATAACTTGAACTTTTTTTTTGTTTTGGGAAAAAAATGATATTTTAACTTATAAATAGCAATTAAGTTACCTACGTATCCCTTATATTGGGAATCAAAGTCCACGTAGTTCTTTCGATTTACTTACCTGTACACGATTGGTGGTCTCTAATAGTCATACTCGTCATCTCCTATTCCGGTTCCAACACTCGTCGTACTCGTAAAATCAGATGCGTCATCGTCGTCGTCTGCTTCGTCATCTACGTACACAGCTGTTTGCATCCTTCGTTCGGCTTTTTTCCAATCCATCAGCAACATTTGTGCTTGTAGGTTTTCGGGCGTCAGCCGCGATCGTCGTGCGTCGAGCATATAACCTCCCTCGCTGAAGGCTTGTTCAACCGCAACTGTAGATGCTGGGACGGCGAAAATCTCCTTGGCCATCAAGCAAGGAATAGGATAAATACCTTGCATTCTCGACCACCAGTCCAAGACATCGAAATTGAGTGGCGGACTTGGTTCACGAGCAATCGTAAGTATCAAATTCAACGTTATGTAGTGATCAAGCTCATAGTATCCAGTTCCCTTTGCCCTTTCAACGCCAACATTCTTGTAGGGATTTAATGATGCCCACCACTCCTGAAAGTTCGAAGCGCCTACTTGACTACCGCCGCAAGAAGAAGACCCGCTGCTGCTGCCCCCGCCGCCACGAACGAATGTGCTGGGAGGTTCACCTTGTGCAATCGCTGTTTCCTTAAACATGTCATACAACAAATTTTTTGCTTGCTCGACGAGCAGCAGTACGTTAGGTTTTTGACTGTATGTTGGGACATCAGTCGGGATTGGGAGTTCATACATATAATTATAATACATGTTAAGCTGTTCTACCAAGCGAGCTTCACGTACCGAAGGATCTAACAAACATGCAACTAAATGTGTATCAGGAATGAAATAATAATATTTCAACCATTTCTTTAACATTTCCTCAACTAAATAGCCATATTTATTAAAATTTAAGTTGTAAAGATGCTTGAAAGCCCACATTATGGCTATAGCTTGACTTAACACAAGCTGAGCAGTAGGATAATAAACACCAGAAAGCATGTTAGTGCATTTTGAAATGTTTCTAAAAATTGAATAAGTGCATTACAGTTCTCCCAATCTCTTGTTGACACTCGGACATCACAGTCCTTACGGTTTGAATGGTTAAAAAAATTCTGCAATTGTGTCATAAACGGAACCGTGTCACTCAACATTTTAAATGTTGAGTTCCACCGGTTAGGAACGTCGAGTTGAAATTTTTTAGGTTTCATCCCTTGATCTTTACAAAAACGTCTCTATTCTTTCATTTCATGGGGACGTTTATGTAAATAATTAACAGCGTCCCTAATTGGCGTGACCGAATCTTTAAAAGCATGATAACCAGCTTGTACACAGAGATTTAAGACATGACATATACAACGAATATGAAAAAATCTTCCGCCGCAAATTGGAGTGCAAATATCGGTAAATTCACGTATAGATGTAGTATTTGCAGTAGCATTATCAAACGAAATGGAAAACACTTTTTTACCTTTTTGATATTTATCCAAAATTTTTGAAATTAAACAAGCAATATTAGAAGCAGTGTGTCGTTCATGAAATGCAACATAAGCAATTAAACGTTTTTGTAAACTCCAATTTTCATCTATCCACTGACAAGTAATTCCCAAATAGAAATTATTTTGCCAATGATCAGACCAGATATCAGCACAAATGGATACTCTATGATTTAAAGATTTAAAAGTTTCTTGCAAAATTACTTTTTTTTCCGCCACTATTTTTCGAATATCGCGAGTAAGAGTAGTACGTGGAACCCGGTGGGCAGCCGGATTCAAAGCCATTTGAGCAAAATGTTCATATAAATCACTATCACCAAAGCTAAACGAAAGAGATGAAGCAGAAACAAATTCAGCTAAATGGCGTCGATGATTTTCATGTGAGTACTGAAATAAAGTTGGCGTACCTGTACCAATCGTGGCTGATGCAGCGCTACTACTTGGGAGTTGCGTCTGTGCTCTGTCAATTCCCAATTTTGTCGGATGAACCCTCTCTAAGTGTCGTTTCAACGATCCGTACCCATCGCCTTTTTTGAAATGGTATTGCTTCTTGTCGTTCGCCGGGCAGTAGTTGCAAACAGCTAAAAAGTGATTCTCACCTCTTGTCGGATTGGCCACCTTCGTGTAATGTTGTTTGAATATGGCAGATGCCGGTCTGGCACGGGCGAAGGCAGAGGCTGGGTGGCCCGGGTCCGGGACCTCCGGGTCCGGGACCTCCGGGTCCGGCTGTTGCTGTTGCGTCGGTTGCTGAACCTCCGGCGGGGACTCTCCAAATATATCATCGAAATGGTCGTGATACGGCTGCTGTTGCTCTTGTTGCTCAGGCTGAATTGAGCCAAAAATGCGCTCGATCATCGCCTCATCAATCTCATCGGCGACACCGGGAATATCCACATGTATCGATTGATTCGCAAATTCCGGAAATGGAGGTCTCGACGAAGATGGGCCGGTGTCGATATTTCTACGTTTCTGTCCGAAATTCGAACCACGACCACCACGAGAGCTTGACATTTTATAATTTAAAGAGTGAAAAATAAATTGGGGAAAATTATATAGAAATATAAAATATGATGAAAAAAAATAAATGAAAAGATGTGGTATTTTTTTTTTCGAATTTTTATTTATTGTTTTTTTTCGAATTTTTTTTCGGTATTTTTTTTTTTCAAAACCGAACACAAAACTAATAAGTAAAAACCGATCACTAAAAACCGAGTGAGAAGAATATAGAGTAAAA